CTTGACTCTTCGTTCGTGCTGGCTAGACTCCGTTCTACATCCTTGTTTATGTCGACGACCTGGTCTTTGCCACAGCAGACAGGGACGCACTGGCCTCCGTCAAGGCAGAGCTGCTGAAGAGACACACGTGCACTGACCTTGGAGAACTGCGCCGTTACATTGGCTTGCAGATCTCCAGGGACAGAGCAGCGCGCACCATCACCCTGACTCAGTCACACTTGGTGCGCCAGGTCCTTCAGAGGTTCAGCCTTCAGTTCTCCTCTGCACAGCCCACCCCTCTGCCTGTAGACCACAGGCTCTCCGCTCCAGTGCCTGAGGAGTTGGTAGAGCCCAGCGGCCCCTACGCAGAGCTGGTGGGTTGCCTCATGTACCTGATGACTTGCACTCGCCCAGATCTCGCATACCCTCTCAGCATCCTGGCTCGCTTTGTGGCCACAGGCAGACACCGACCGCAGCACTGGTCTGCCGCTAAGAGGGTTCTGCGTTATCTTGCTAGTACATCGGGCATGGGGTTAGTGCTAGGAGGACGCAGGCCAGTGGTCCTTACTGGACACACAGACGCTTCGTGGGCAGACGACGCTGAGACACTCAGGTCTACCCAGGGCTACTGCTTCAGCCTTGGCTCAGGTGCCGTCTCGTGGAGAGCTACCCGCTCCTCGTCTGTTGCGCAGTCCAGCTGTGAGGCTGAGATCTACGCTGGTGCCATGGCGGCACAGGAGCTCCGCTGGCTGACCTTCTTGCTCACTGACTTAGGTGAGCGGCCTAGCTCTGCCCCGGTCCTGTTCGCTGACAACAGGGCCATGATCCTCCTGTGTCAAGAGCCTCGACTCGAGGGCAGAGCAAAGCACATTCAGCTGCGGTACTTCCTCCTGCGTGAGCTACAGCAGCGACGTCAGGCTCGCGTAGTACACTTGGCCTCAGGTGCCAACACGGCTGATATCTTTACGAAGGCGCTTGCGCCTAAAGATCATCAGCGGCACTGTGTACAGCTTGGTCTAGTTCCTGTAGCCTCTCACTTGCTAGGACCTTGACTTTGTACTGTCCTTTATACGTATACTCAGACTGGACTTGTGTCCTCTCCTAGTGGCTGGACTAGTAGTGCCGCCCTGCTCTTGTTCTTGCCTTGTCTGTACTCCTTCTGACTGGTCTCTCAGACCCTTGTCTCAGAGGTTGGACTAGTAGTGCCGCCCTGAGCTGCTTGTTTAGGACATTCCCCTATGGAGTCTAGGGGGTGTGTCAAACATGTGTATTTGTCATGTTTGTATAGACTGTATAGGGTAGCCTCTTAGAGGGTACAACACTTAGGTATATCTGTGTGTACTCTCACTCTATCATTATTCACTTCTCTAAATTTGATACTAAGCAGTAGGCAGGAACAAGGCCGCCATGAATGTGGCGGCGGGGTTTAGCGAGGAGAGTAAGAGAGAGTGTCGAGAGAAAAGGTGATTGATTAGGAAGAGAGAGGAGTACAAGGAGGGGTTTGTACCCTCTACAGATTGGTTCAGTAACAGCCTACCAAGCCTATATTAAATTATAACTCATTTAATTTTAACAACCCTTAGGACATACCGTAATCCCCCGTATAAAACACCCGCCGGAATTAAGCTCCCCCGGGTAGCTTGAGCGGGTATGGGTGTTTAATTTAACTGGATTTAGTTACCACCCTACCCTTGGCCTTGAAAACATTTCACCACCCCCCCCCGAGATGAAAAAACGTTTTTTTTCTACGTTTTCCTGTATACAACTTCTTGAATTAGACGTTAGCAATACAACTAGAGTACACGTAGTTACTACTCAACAGAATTAACCATAGAACTAGTTAGTGGCACCACCTAGGGCTTGAATTCTACCTATTGGCTCTGCCTAGAACCTAAATTATCCACTACACTTTAAATCCTTACACTACGCCAGATACTCATGCCTCTGCCACTGCTCTAGTCGTCCTCCTCAGGCTCCTCATCACCAGCCTGCCACATCTCGACGTCGCTCCCATCTGCAAGCTCATCCCACCAGCAGTTGTCGTCATCCTCCTGTGCAATGCCTTCTGCCGGCCACACATCAACACTTGCTGCTGCTGCTGATGCAGTCTCTGCATTGTCTGCGCTCGTCTCAGCTGCTTCGGTTGCCGCTTCAGCACAGTCGATGTCGTCAGCCGCCAGCGACGCCGCATCCGCCTCTTCGTCGTCGGCGACGTCCCCGTCCACATCGATGAAGGCGTCGTAGAGGGGGTTGATGTAGCCGCTCTCGCCCTCCTCGACGTGGACATCGTCCATCACCTCGAGGTCGGGCTTGCCGCGGAGGTGGCGGAGAGCGAGGTTGTCCTCGGTGCCGTCCAGCGCATTTGATATACCGCACGTCTTGAATGAACTATGCACGAGCTCCTCTGGCACAGCCTCCCATGACCGAGCAATCCATTTCAAGATGAGCTCAGCCGGGGGCTTCTTCAGATTTCCTGCACATGGGATGGGAGCATAATGGGAGGAGAAGAACACGGGCACGGTAAGATGACGACTAGGAACGGGCACGGTGGAATTCGTCAACAAGCAAGAAGTCTAAAAACTACTGAGGAAGCGACTAGGAAGGGGCTCACCTGCCGCAGTCTTCATGTCGATGCCGAACTGCTCAAACCATGCGCCGTAGTCGCCGCGCACGCCGGCCTTGAAGCTCTTGTTCACTGCGACGTCCAGCGGTTGAACGAGAGGCGTGCAACCACCTGGGATGACCGCGCGGGTAAGTTTGCACAGCTTCATCGTCTGCCCGACTGCTTGCGTGAGGTGGCCCTTGTACGAGTCCAGGATGACGAGCGCCTCCTTGCGCCTATTCCCCGATTCGCGCAGCGGGCGCAAGAACGGGTTCAGGACTTGAGTAGTCCAGTCCTGGACAAGCTTCTCGTCCATCCAGCCCTTCGGCTGGGCTCGGATGATGACACCTGGACACAATCACAAGCCACAACAATAGTCAGAGGGTATGCATCGGTGTACACTATGCAAAGAGCGAAAAGCAAAGGCGATTCTTACCCGGGGGAACCTGAATCTTTGGCAGCGTCTTCCGCTTGAAGATGACATACGGCGGGAGCTTCAATCCCAACGCGGTGACTGCCAACATGACGGTGAGCCGCTCCTTTTCATAGCCGGCCGTCCTCACATGCACCGTACGGGAGCCTCTGTGCTCCAACGTCCTCTCCTGGGGCATTTCGATGAAGAGGGGGGTTTGGTCGGCGTTCACGATGTGGTCGAGGTTGTACCGGTTGAGAATCCGCATCTGTTTGACAAACTCCCAGAATTTCTCGATCTTCGTCCTCATGTCTGCATAGAACAAAACAGTCAGAGAACAAATTCAGGCATGAACACGCGATAAGCAAGACAATCAAAAGAATCAAATATTGAAAGTCGCGGCAAGGGAATCAATAACAAGGATGGGACGGCAGTTTACCGTCGGCGAGCTTTTGCCCCATCTTCGTCTTTACCCGACGCGTAAGGCCCCAGCGCGCGCGGAATCTGAACGTCCAGCGACTCGACGCTCTCCAGTCGACGTTGGGATGATGTACGCGCATGTACGAGCGACTCCACTTCTGCAGCAGCTTGACGGAGACGGCAAGCCCCCTCCCGCAGTGCCTCAAGAACTGTCGGTAGAGGGCGCTCTCCATCGTCGGGTACTTCGCGGGACGTCCGGCACCGACGAGGCGTTTGCGGCAGCCGGCGGCGACACGGAGGCGTTCGCGAGCATTCTTCCACTCCCGAATCGACACCGGCTGGACACCTGCAAGCTTTGCGAGTCCACGCACAGAGAGGTCGGGTTGAGCATCGAACATGGAAAGCCAGTACAACTTCTCCGAGGCAGAGTACGAGCGGCGCTTCCGCTTTGTCATCCTGCTTCGAGATGCGGGGGCATGGACATCGTGATTCAAGGTAGGACCACGGGGTCGTCGAATGGGCTCCGGGAAACTCGGCACGCTGACGCGCGGCAGGGGACGACGGCCTTCCGTCGTAGTGGCGTCGCCGCTTGCAGAATCTGTCGCAGCGGCGTCGCCGCTTGCAGAATCTGTCGCAGCGGCATCGCCGCTTGCAGAATCTGTTGCAGCGGCGTCGCCGCTTGCAGAATCTGTCGCAGCAGCATCGACGCTTGTAGAGTCTGTCGCTGCGGCATCGCCGTCGGCAAAGGACCGACGAAGTAAAAACGTCTGCTGGCCATAAGGGCCCTTTCGAGTCAGAAGGCGAGACAAGCCAGAGCCTGAGGCCATGGCGGGGGGACGTTACAGAGACGGAGCTAGAGGATGCCTTAGACAGCCCTTGCAGGGGCTGTCTTGAAGGCATCCTGGAGTCGAAACTGAAAATGAGAGGACGGAGCGGGGTAGACCCACTTCAAGAGTGGGTTGGAGGGGAAGGCAGGGACGTGGGCGACTCCCTCGTCCATGTCGCCCATGAAATGCCTCTCACGACCATCCAGAATGTGTGATTCCATGCGCTGGCCGGTCGTGAGAAGGCATCGACAAAATGTGCCGTTGATTTCGCCACCCCATGCTGTGCTGGCACAGCGTGGGCTGGAGGCATCAACGTGGCTGCCTGCAGCACAAGCTGATTGGCTACTCTGGCAGCATACTGAATCAGCAGCGTACGTAGACGATGTGGCATGCACATGGACCAAATCGTTGGGTACGCGATCAGATAGCAGAATGGGACTCAGAACAATGCCCTGTCACAAGTACAGTTGAATTCAAATCAAAAGTAGCATATGCACATTCCATAACTCCTGGGTGCTGTATTTTTTTTGCCTTTAATTACACCCAACCCAAAATTTCGTTGCATTTTTATTAACACCATACGGTGTTTTATACGGGGGATTACGGTACCCTTGTACACAATGCATTCTAGTCATTCTCTGTTTCTGATAGTTATTGAGGGAACTGCTTGGTAAGGGACAGAAAATAAACTACACCTAAACTTACCCACTTGATGTTACTAGATTTTCTACAGTATCACCTTGTCAACTTATACATGTTAGCTATGTAGAAGTTATAGACTAGACTGAGGTATGCTTCTAGTGAGTACAACCAACTAGTATTTGTTCTAGGTTTCTCCTTCTAGTTGATCATTCAGTTCTTACTTTGACACACCTATCCCATGCCATAACAATTCATGGTATCAAGCTGAGGCAATGAGCAGCGCACACACGTGCAGGCTTCTGCATTTCATTCAAGCCCGCTGTGCGCTCAAGATAATCCGTATATGCTCAACCTTGTAACGGAGCAAGTGGTAGATGGAGGTTCTTTGAAAACCCGTGTAGGAGGCTGACCGACTAGGTCACAAGGGTCAAGGCGAGACTGTCAGTATGAGAAATCTGTCCCTCCAGCTCCTCTCTTAAGCTGCGCCTGTTCGTTCTGCTGCCATAGTTTTAGCTGCCCCTGCTCCTGCTCCTGCTGCTCGTCCTGTTGCTGCAGTATTGAGTCTCCTCTCCAGCTGCTCTCCCAAGCTGCTCCTGTTCCTTCTGCTGCCAGTGTTTCATCTGCCCCTGCTCCTGCACCAGTGGCTGCTGCTCTTGTCACTGCTGCGGGGAAGACGTTGCTGCGGCTGTGGCGGGCAAAGCAGAAGTGGCTGCTGCAGCAGCAGCAGTAGCAGCACTTGTAGCAGCAGGAGTTGTAGAAGCAGTTGTAGCAGCAGCAGCAGCAGCAGGGGTGGGAGGAGGAACGGTTGTTGCAGCGAGCAAAGGAGGTCCAGCAGCAGGAGATATTGCTGTCGCAGCACTCAGCACGTCTGTAGAAGCAGTAGGCACGGCTATAGCAGCAGCAGTAGGCACGGCTGTAGCAGCAGGAGCTGCTGACGCAGCAGCAGCAGGAAATGCTGAGGCAGCAGCACTAGGTATGGCTGTAGCAACAGCAGTAGGCACGGCTGTGGCACCGTGAGAAAAGGGACTGATGAGAGGTCCGTTGCTGGTGCCAGGAGTCCTCCCTGCACCAGCAGCTCCTGCTGGCCTTGTAATGGTTGCAGCACCAGTTACCATAGCAGCACCGGTTACAGTTGGAGCACCAGTGACTGTTCCAGCACAGGCTGGCGTCGTTGTGTGTGCAACAGGTGTAAGCTGATTCTGCCTGGAGCTTACTCTGGGCGGACTTATCAACAGTACGTGTGATTTACCCATCTGTTGTGCCGCCACTGATCTAGGGCTCAACATAGGGGGAATCAACAATTTTCTGGGTAATTTACCCGTCGGTCCTGTGCCGGGTGGGCTTATGGTGCGTGAAAGCGCTCTGGGGCTGGGAGCAAGAGGCAGCCTCAGAAGCCCGCTCCGGCTGGGGCTGCTAGCAGCAGTGCCTGATGCACTCGCAGCATTGGCAGTGCTAGCAACCCTACCAGTATTCGCATTAGCAGCGTTGGCAATGCGAGCAGTGCTAGCAACACTGGCTGTCTTGGCAACGTTAGTAGTGGCATTGAAGTCAGCAGGGGTGGTGACTGCAGGCGTGCAGTTGCGAGGTGTGGTGTTTGGCAAAGGGAGAACCAGTGCTGGTGGTTGCTGCGGTTGCTGCTGCTGGTGCTGCTGTTGTTGCTGCTGCTGATGTTGCTGTTGCTGATTCAACGGCTGATGCTGATGATGTTGCTGTGCTTGTTGCTGTGCCTGCTGTGGCTGTTGCGCTTGTTGCATGTGCGGTAGTCGTGGCACCCGGAGAGGAGGAGGAATCTTCAGCAGCGGTTGTGCCACGCGGCTCTGCGCTCCTGTCTGTTGTTGCGTCCACCTCTCAAAATGCTGCTGTTGCTGCTGCTGCCCTCTTGCACCAGGTTGACTGGGCTGACTGGGTTGACTGTGTTGACTGGGTTGACTGGGTTGACTGTGTTGACTGGGTTGACCGGCAACCAAAGGGGACTGCAACAATGATGCCAGTGACAGTGAGAGCTGTCCAGCCACATTTCCTTGCTGCCCAGCCACATTTCCTTGCTGCCCGGCCACATTTCCTTGCTGCCCGGCCACATTTCCGTGCTGCCCGGCCACATTTCCTTGCTGCCCAGCCACATGTCCTTGCTGCCCGGCCGCTCTCCCTTGCTGACCTGTCGCACTCCATTGCTGACCTGTCTGCATAGGCGCATGTGTAGTGTGTGGTTGAATCGTGAGCGAGTGGGTAGAAAGTGCGGGAGTGCTGTGTGTGGGCGTGGTGTACGTGGGGTTACCCATGCGAAAGCTTTTTGGAATTCCAAGCTGCTGCGGTCGCTGCTGCTGCTGCTGCTGTTGCTGCTGCACTAGCTGCTGCTGCGGATGCAGGAGATGGGGGGGAGGAGGGGGAATATGAAGAGGAAAATTCAGAGGAGGAAGATGGGGAGGGGCAGGAGGAGGAACAGGAGGGTTTAGAGGGGGAGGAAGACGGGGGGGAGCAGCAGCAGGAACAGGAGCAGGAGGAGGAGGGGGTAGACTGTGGTTGTGTGACTGGCTACCTGTGTGCTGCTGGCTACCTGTGTGCTGCTGGCTACCTGTGTGCTGCTGGCTACCTGTGTGCTGCTGGCTACCTGTGTGCTGCTGGCTACCTGTGTGCTGCTGGCTACCTGTGTGCTGCTGGCTACCTGTGTGCTGCTGGCTACCTGTGTGCTGCTGGCTACCTGTGTGCTGCTGGTTACCTGTGTGCTGCTGGTTACCTGTGTGCTGCTGGTTACCTGTGTGCTGCTGGTTACCTGTGTGCTGCTGGTTACCTGTGTGCTGCTGGTGGGTGAGTGAGCCTGTGCCTTGCTGGTGGTTGAGTGGGTCTGTGCCTTGCTGGTGGGTGAGAGGGCCGGTAACTTGCTGGTGGGCAGGAAGAAATGCGTGAGCTTGCAGATCGGAAGAGTGAGCTGTGAAAAGTTGCTGCTCACACTGCTGCTGCTGCTGCTGCTGTTGCTGCTGCTGCTGCTGCTGCTGCTGCTGCTGCTGCTGCTGCTGCTGCTGCTGTTGATGCTCCTGTTGTTGTTGCTGCTGCTGCTGCTGCTGCTGCTGATGATGCTGCTGTTGATGTTGCTGTTGTTGCTGCTGTTGTTGCTGCTGCTGCTGATGCTGCTGCTGCTGTTGATGTTGCTGTTGTTGCTGCTGTTGTTGCTGCTGCTGCTGCTGATAGTACTGCTGGTTCTGTTGCTGTTGCTGTTGTTGTTGCTGTTGCTGCTGCTGCTGCTGCTGCTGCTGCTGCTGCTGCTGTCGTTGATAATGATCTTGTTGCTGTTGCTGCTGCGATTTTTGTTGCTGCTGTTGCATATAGTATTGATGTTGCTGCTGCTGCTGCGGCTGCGGCTGTTGATAATGATAGTGCTGTTGCTGCTGCTGGTGTTGCTGTTGCTGCTGCTGCAGGGTCGAGCACGAAGCAGCAGCAACGGGAGCAGGAGGAGCAGAAGCGGGAGCAAAGAATGCAAGGGGCAGTGAGGCAGGGGGGGTAGTAGCAGGAGGAGCGAGAGAGGGAGGAGGAGCAGAGGGAAGCGAAGCTGTAGGGGCCAGTGCTGGGGACGCAGGTGCAAACTGAGGAGGGGAGGGGAGGTGCGGGTGGGAGGGGGTGTGAGAAGCTGTAGGAGCCAAGGCTGGGGATGCAGGTGCAAGAGCGACACCAGCAGCACTGGCAGCACTGGTAGCATTGGCAGCACCGGCACCAGCACATGCAGCAGCAGCAGCAGCATCCTCAGCACCAAAAGTGCCAGCAGCAGCACTAGCACCAGCAGCAGCAGCACCAGCAGCACCACCAGTGGCAGCATCCGCACCACCAGTGACAGAAGCATGGTGCATCCAGGGCATGAGTGCTTGGATCCTGTCCTGCAGCTGCGCCTGCAGCGCCTCTATCTCCACCTTCAAGGCCGCCTTCTCCTGCCGTAACTCCGACTTCTCACTGCCCAACTGGAAAACGAAGGAGAGGAGGGTGGGGGGGCGAAGAAGGGGATAAAATGCTTGGACGGAGGAGACTACACTGCACGAGAGATGCAATAATCTCTTCAACAGCTGCGCCTGTAGCACCTCTATCTCCACCTTCAAGGCCGCCTTCTCCTGCCGTAACTCCGACTTTCACTGCACAACTGGAGCGAGGGGAGGTGAGTGAGGGGGAAGGGGAGGGAGCGTGCATGGGCGCGCTGCTCCTCGCCTGCAGCTGCGCCTGCAGCACCTCTATCTCCACATTTTCCTGCAGCTTTTTCCTGCCGTAACTCTGACTTCTCTGACCCGAGCTGCAGGGTTGAGGGGAGTCAAGAGGGTGTGTGAGGGCAGGAGAGGGAGGGAGGAGCATTGAGCGCTGATCCTCGCCTGCAGCTGCGCCTGCAGCGCCTTTATCTCCTCCTTCAAGGCCGCCTTCTCCTGCCGCAGGTCTGACTTCTCGCTGCCCAGCTGACGGAAACGGAAAAAAAAAAATTACACGGAGAGGAGAGAGGGTAAGGGGCTGGAGGGGAGGGGGGGGGGAGGAGACAGTAATCACTCATATGTGTTTTGTTTCTAAGAATTCTTAAAAACAACCGTTGCAGAATCGCCAGCCCATCGCCTAATCTGGTGCTGCAGTCTACGACACCGAAAACTAACACTCAGCCGCAGCTGTCGCAGCATCGCCAGCCCATGCAGTGTGTTGTACAGAATAGTACTGCATATTACGACATGGTACTGCTCTGCACCGCACTGCACCCTCCTTTGACTCATCCATTAGAGCAGTGTGGTCTGATCTCAGCCGGCACACACTCAGCCGCAGCTGTCGCAGCATCGCCAGCCCATTGCCCAATGGGTCGCGCCGTAGGCACCACTCTGTAATGAACCACTGTGTACCGCACTGACCCACCTCTTTGGACTCGTCCATCAGAGCAGCATGGTCAGAACCGCAGGCGGCACACGCTCAGCCGCAGCTGCCGCAGCATCGCCAGCCCGTCGCCCAGAATGGTCGCCTTGTCGTTCTTTGGCCGCTCGGGATCTAGCCATACATTTATTTGCACCATGCATGCCATGCCATGCCATGCCATGCCATGCCATGCATGCGTTTGTACATGAGATGACATGACATGCCATGCCGCACATGTGCTCATGCCAGGCATTAAAAAGCGGGAAAAGCGCAAAAGCGGAGGCGGACACTCAGGACGCCGGTTAGTTCCGCGACTCGCAAGATCAGGCCAATGGGGAAATGGGAATAGGCAATGGGGAAGGGAGGAGCGGGGAACGGGAACGGGAAAAGGGAGGAGTGGGGAACGGGACACGGGGAAGGGAGGAGTGGGGAACGGGGAAGGCGGGGGAGCGGGAAGCGGGGGAGCAGGGAACGGGGGGGACGGACGGGAAGGGGAAAGCAGAACGGAAGGCGACTTGCGACGCCGCCCAGTTTCGGGAGCGCTCGTTGAGGCGCAAGGAGGAAGGTGAAGGGACTAGGGAGGTAGGAGGGGAAGGGGAAGGGAGGGAGAGGCGGG